CCCAGCCAGAGGGCATCAAAGCCGGCGCCAAGATGAATGGGTCGCGGCTGCCTGTCACAGCCGAGAACCTGGTGCGCCACTGGTATGCCTGGGAAGAGCAGAGCGGGGGCCCTGCTGGCTAGGCAATGGCCCTAGCAATGGCCGCTTCAGACCCTGGGCCTCTGGAGAACCTCCCTGGATGTCTGACAAATGAAGATTACTGATGGCCCCTGGTGCTTGGGCAGGGGAACCCAAAGGCCAGGGGTGCTGGAACAATGTGTATAGTGGGGGTGCTGCGAGCCATTGGATCAAACTGTAACCCCTGTATATGTGGAAACCACTTCAAGCCAGGGGGTGCGGCAACCCCCACCTCAACCCCTAGTTCAAGCACCTATGCCAAAGGTTCCCTTCCAGCACCCATCCATATCACTGCAGAGCAGCATGGGGCCAAGTTTTGGAAGCTGGTGCCCGTAGGGTGACCAGATGTCCCTGTTTTATAGGGACAGTCCCAATATTTGGGGCTTTGTCTTATATAGGTGCCTATTACCCCCCCAGCCCTGTCCCGATTTTTCACACTTGCTGTCTGGTCGCCCTAGGTGCCCACAGCAATAAAGTGGGGGCCTCAGTCAGCAGCTGCCAGGGGGTCTTGTTTTCAGTGACTGTATTTCCAGGACTAAGGCCTCGGGGGCTGCAGTCCTCTCACAGCTGTTCCTTGCCCAAGGCAGCCATCTCTGGGTCATGGATGGCACAGGAATACACTCGCTGCAGCCTTCTTCACAGCTGGTGCTGTGCCTCTGTGGCTGGCAGCAATGCCTGGACTGGGCTCTGAACCTGAGACCGGGCACTTCCCTGGGGCCAAGCCCCCGAGGAGGCAGCGTTGGCAGGCGAGCTCCCATTGAGTGGGTGGAGCTGCTGCCCTCCTGACGCGTGATGAGCGCAGACGAGCTGGAACGAAGAGTTGGGGCATCCGGGCCCTGCACCCCTCCCCTTCCTGTGATTCACCATGACTCTCAGCCAGCCAGTAAAACAGAAGGTTTATTACATAGACACGAGGAACACAGTCCAAAACTGAACTTTTAGCTACAGACAACAGGACCCCCTCGGTCAGGTCCGTCTTGGGGGGGCAGGTAGCCTAGAACCTGGCCCTGGGACTCCCTCCGTTTCCCCAGTCAGCTCCAAACTGAAACCCCCTCCAGCAGTCTCACCCAGCCACACACTCCGGCTCCTCCTCCAGCCTTTGTCCAGTTTCCCCGGCAGAAGGTGTCACCTGGCCCCAGCCCCCTCCTGGCTCAGGTTACATGCTCAGGTATCATCCCTCAAGTGAAGTTACCCCCTGATATCCCATCCCCAATGCAGACAGTCCCAGTAAAACTCCCCCGCAACATCCCCAGGTCAATCCTCCCTGCTCCCCGCTCCGTCACACGAGCCCATTAACAGCCGATGGTTCGGAAAGGAGCTCAACACAATAGGTAGGGGAGAGCGGGTGGATGGGAGACCTAATCACAACAGCAATAACAAGCCCAGTAGATCGAAAAGTGCTTTAGGAAGGGGTCAGTATTGTTATCCCTGATTTACAGCTGGGAAAACTGAGGCACAGCTGGGGACATGCCTGTCCAGGGTCACCCAGCAGCAAAGCCAGGACTAGAACCCAGGTCTCAGCCCAGTGGGTTCTCCATTAGAACACACCGCTGGCGACTCTGAGCTCAGCCTGACTGGCCCGGCAACACCAAGGAGAACACCCCAGAGTTCCCAGTTTTAGCCTCCACTGCCATCCCCAAACCCCCACTCGGCTGCCCCTGAACTCAGCATCTAGGAGTTCAGGGCAAAAGGTGCCTCAGCGCCCATGCTGCTGCCTCTGGGCATGTGTACTAGGCATCCGGTCAGCCCAGAGCAATCCACAGGGGAATCGGACCTGCAGGGCCAAGCAGCTGGGCGCGCTCAGAGCATACCAACGGGATAAGCCCTATTTGATGGTGTGTCTACCTTACTGCTTTGAGCCCACTGGCTAGAGCACATTCCTGAGAGGTGGGAGAGCCCTGTTCAAGCCCCTTTTCCCTCTCAGGCAGAGGAGGGAATTGAACCCAGGTCTGCCACATCCCACGTGAGTGTGCCAACCACTGGGATGGGCACCACCATGTCCTTCTCTGGCTGTTTTGTGTGGTGCAGGCCGGCAGCTGACTCAGTCCTGCCAGCATGACTTGGGCACCTGAGCTGCCTGCCCGGAGAGGGGCACCCATTTGTGGCTCCCTAGCAGAGCTAGTGCCTGCCTGCAGCCCAGACATGGTGGCCTAGCTCCAGGAAAAGGCAGGGCTTAGGACACACCTCTCAACAGTCTCCCATTGGCGAGAACAGGCGGCTCCCTGTTAAGCATGCTGGCTTTTGGGGAGCACGTTCTTAGGCGCTGGTGTCTCCCCATTCATCGGCTTTGTGCACCCCAGTGTTGTACCCATGGCCCCTAAAATGTAGGCCCTGCAACGCTCAGCATTGCCACATTTAAGTCCCTCTGTGCAGCCAGGCCATTCTGTCCGGCCCTAACTTCCCTCTAAGCTGCACCTCTCCCCACTGGCCCCAGCCCAGCCCTGGACCTCCTGCGGAGAGGTACCCATCCTGTGGCCCCAATCCAGCCCTGGCCCGGACCTCCTACAGCCCGGGGAGAGGTACCTATCCTGTGGCCCCAGCCCCGGAGCTCTGCCCGAGCCCTGAGCCCCCTCCCACACTCCGAACCCCTTCGCCCCACCCCGCGCCACACATCACCTCCCTGTTGGGGCACATAACAAAATTCATTCCGCACATGTGAGGGGAAAATCAGAGGGAACACTGGTCTGGCCTCTTCTGGGCGTGTGAAGAACAGCTGGGCCTGAGGGAATTCCCTACAGCCCGTGCAGTCTCACCACACCTGTGAGGCCCAGAGCTGCTGAGGTGCCAGGCGTTTACATCCAGCCATTTAACTCCAGTGCCAGCAGCTGTTGCCTAAACCCCTCCCCACGGTGGCAGGGATTGGCCCAAAGGAGCTGGAAGTGCTGTCGGCACCAGGTCTGAGGATTTGCTCGAGTCTTTGGGGGCCTCAAGTCTTTCCTAAAAGCTGCTGTGTCGAGGTGGGAGGGAGAGCTCAGTGGTTTGAGCATTGGCCTGCTAAACCCAGGGTTGTGAGTTCAAGCCTTGAGGGGGCCATTTAGGGATCTGGGGCAAAAATTGGGGGTTGGTCCTGCTTTGAGCAGGGGGTTGGACTAGATGACCTCCTGAGGTGCCTTCCATCCAACGCTGATAGTCTATGATTCTGTGGGGGAGCAAGGGGCTTCCCCCTATGCAGGCTCACTGAACGGGAACATCTCCTGTTCTAGCATTTGGAGGGGCTCTGCTTAGACTAGGGTATTCCAAAGTCCTTGTCCCCACTAACACCCCAGGAGACTTGGAATTGAATCCTGCACTGATTGGAAATGAATGTTTGGCTGCCTTGCAAAATTCTCAGCCAGCTGAGCCGTCTCTTCTCAGAAGAAGCCAAGGCCCCATCTGTGGGTTAGAGGATGGCACCTTTCTGGAGAATGTTTAAGCCAAGCTATTGAAGTCTCATACAGTGGTAAGCTGCTCTATGCAGTGTCCTAGAGGGCTCTGGACAGGCCTGGTGGATTTTTGGTTACATTCCTAATAAATTCTATGGCAAGTGTCCATAATGGCTGGGGGGCGGAGAGGTGAGATCAGGCACTCAACCGCCATGGGGATGAGCCCACGGGAGCTGTCAGGCTCGGGTGGGAGCTGCCAGTTTCCCAGCGCTCGCCCTGAGGGCTCTACCCTTTGCTGCCCCTGCTTGGCCGCCAGGAACCCTCTGGCTCTGCCTGTGCCCCTGCTCTGGCCGCTGCCTCCTCTGGGCGAGGGCTGGGGCTGGGCCAGCGCAGCCCTGGCCGGGGGCAGACCCCACAGGCCACCGGGGCCCATGGCCAGGCCTGACGCAATAGGGTCACAGCACCATCTAGTGGCTCTTGGGAGCATGGCACCAGCATAACCCTGAGCCCAAGGACGAGGCCCCAGAGCTGAGCAGGTGCCAGGCGGCCAGCTACGCACCAGGAGGGGGTCCCCAGCGAGGGCTGATCCGGCACCTCAGCTGACACTGGCTGGGGGCAGAAACTGGCGGGGACGAGCACGGGGACAGCTGTTTCCTGGTGGGGAGAGGGAGGTGAGGGAGAGAGCAGGAGGGAACCCAGTGAAGTCCAGCGAGCACGACCCCCCTGATCCAGAGACCCACAGGGAGCAGTGCAGCCCAGGCAGGAGGAGCGCCTGGCCACATGGCTGCTGGGCTCGGCTTGGCCCCGGCGCTCCGGAGTCATTGGGTCCCAGCCTGGTGTCATGGGCGCTGGCTTGCAGCTGGTCCCCGCACACTTTGCCTTGCTGTGGCTGAATCTAGGGGTGGGGACCCCCCTCCCCACCATCTCCTTTGCACTGGCTGAGGGCTCTGGGGAGGCATGCTGCTGGAGGGCAGGAGAGCGGGGGAAGGGGGGGTTGAGCTCAACTGACTTTAGGCAACTTGAGATGCCGGGGCTTGCTTTGCAGAGGTGCGACCTCACTGAGTTCAACAGGAACAGAGGGGATAGCTGGCCCTTTCAGAAACAAGGCTCAAGGGCCCAGAGCCTCAGACGTATTATGCCTCCTAACTGCCATTGATTTCAGTGGAATTAGGTGCCTCAATACCTCCATGGCTCTGGGCCAAGGTGCTTCAGGTCTGGCACCAAAAGCAGGGAGCACCTTAAAAAATTAGCCTTAATCTGCATCAGTGTCACAATCTGAGAAATGGGGCATGTGGCATGGCCCTGCCTTGGAGTGGGATTTACCTCATCACCACTGAGATCCTTGCCTACAAAATCCTTGAGCTATGCAAAGTATGGTCCCTGTCTGGATGGTTCAGGGCCAGGCCAGATGCCTTGGCCCTCGGCTCCCTGCTCCCCACACCCACCTTGGAGCCGCACAGGGGGTTCATCTTATTTTCCAGCCTGTGCCTCTTAAAAATCATTTTTGCAAAGAGTGTCATCTTACAATAGCGATAAATAGAACTTTATTTTATACATATTTCACCAGAAACACAAACACAATCTCAGATTTTAAAAAAATTAGTTTCTGAACATTAATTTAGAATTGGATCCAATGCATTTTATGTCGCTTTAAAAAAAATGAATACAACACAGACATAAAATACCCCTGGGTGTCCACAGCATAGTTATATTACACAGACAGTCGGCAGTTTAAAATTAAATACACACACATCAGGGAGTTGTACCTTCCTGCCCGCAGAGGAAGCCAGTTCAATATATATTTTTTTTACAATGTGCAGTGCACGCCCCCACATGAAAACAGACCCCCATGGCTACACACCAAGGTCATCCTACTTCAGGAGCTAATGGACTCAGGGTGGCTGGTGACCCCTGTGGAGGCCAGGAAGCTGCGCTGGACAGCAGCGTAGGTCTGCTCTTTGTAGTGCATCGTGCGCGCTTTGTGGCCGCAAAACGGCCTGCTGCCCGTAACCCTGGGCAGTGGCACAGAAGAGGTTAATATCACAGCTGGCAGACTTTTCCCCCAAAAATGTTTTTTTCCAAAAAAAAGGTATTTTTCAGCAAAATGACTTTTTTTGGTGGAAAATTTTTATTTTGGTCAAATTTTCCCCCCTGCCCAGTTCTGGGGGACCCTGGCTAGGTTCAGGGACTTCTGGCAACCCTGCATCACTTTCGTCAAAATGTTCCAGTCTGTCAATGAAAAAACATAAACGGAACATTTCTGGGCTAAACTATTTTCACAAAAAATTGGAAATTTGACCAGAAAGATGTTTGTGAAAACTCACCAGTCGGGGGTTTAGGAGTAATTTTTTTCATCAAAAACAAAAACTAAAAAATAGCTCAGGAAGCTTTTTGGGAAAAAAAGTATTAAAAAAATCCCTGAAAAAACAAATTGGCTTCTCCCGCCCAGGCCTGTCGAACCTCCCTTGTGCCTCGGGCTCCTGGTGCAGCATGGCAGCGCACTGGCCGGTCACCTGCAGCAGGAGCCGGGGTTAACCCGGGTGGCTGCAATGGGTCTGCTAGAGATTGTCTGTCAGTGCGTCATGGCTCTTTGGGATAAACTTATTCTAAAGTCGTCAGGCGTTTGCCCAGTCCTGGGTTCACACACGCTCTGATTCCACCCTGATCAGGCCTGGGTGCCCCAGAGCTGGGCAGTCGTGAAGCCTAATGCAGCCGAGCTCTCACAGACCCCAGTCTGAAGACACTGCCCCCACATTGCTCCCCACAGCCATTCACGAGCCCACCTGGCCCGCAGCCCCGGCTGGCACCACTAGCTCGTGCTCTCCATTTGCTCTCCGCAGGACCCTGCTTCCAGGGCGCAAAGAACAGGGTGGGGGCTGGGGCGCCCCCTGCTGGCCACGGGGCAGAGCTACCGTGGTGTTTGTGGAGTGTATGGGCGTCGCTGAGGGCGGGAGAGGAGGCGCGGGCAGAGCGGCTGGTGGATGCCTGTGTGCACAGGGAGCCCTCGTGCTGGGGCCCAGGATGCTGCCGGGCTCATGGAGCAGCTGGGACGTAGGGTGCCATGGCGAGGGCACTCTGCAGAGGGACACTGCTGAAAGGCTGCAGGCACAGGGGGGCCTGCGTGGGGGGGGGGGGCTACCAGCAGTGGATGCTGAAGAGTCTTGGCTCGTGTCCCACAGCACTGGGGCACAGACCACAGGCCAGCCACACGCTCACTGCAAACCAGTCCGGCATGCGGAGATGAAGGGGAGGGGGAAGCAGCCCTCCCTCTGGCAAGGCAGAGCTATTCCAGGCCTGGCTCTTTCCTCCGCACCTGGGCATCAGCCCAGCACCACGGCTGCTATTTGAGGCCATGCTAGGTGGCTGTGTACAGATGTGGGTGGAGGGGGTATATACCCCCGCCACTCGCAAGAGCCAGGTGCTGGCCACATCCCTGCAGACCGGCCAGCCTGTCAGAGAGCTGCAGGGGGCTGGCAATGCACATTTGGAGGCATGGCTTTCCAGGCCAGGGCCAGAGACAGGCATTCTCCCTTGGCCCAGGGTCCCACTTCTAGTTTGCCATATCTCCCAATCCCTCCTTCCCCCAGGACTCCTCCCTAGCCTGGGCTCTGCCAGTGATGCTAGGCTGGTTCCTGGGCACCCTTCACCCTAGGTATCATCTACGTGCCACCCTTCCTCCTCTGGGGCTGGGTCAGACTCCCAGGGACGACCCTGAGGGAGGCTCTCGCGGTGAGACTGGCCAAGGTGGCCCCACAGGTGGGGAACAAGGACGCAGCTGGCCAGGAAAGGTGGGGGCTGGAGCATCTAGCTGCCAGAGGTTATTGGCCTGTCACTGGGGAGTTGCTGGGCTCTAACACACCATAGTGTCATTCCTGGAAGCTGGGTGCCTGGGTAGAAATGGCTTCCTCTCTGGAGAGGTTCCTTCAAGGCCTGCCAGGTGTTCTGGGCTGCAGGGCATGTCCCAGGGTCCGAGGGCTGGGCATGGGTGAAGTGCCTGGCACCGCATGTCCCGTCAGCAAAGTGCAGAGCAGGCCGAGCTGGTTGGGGGCTGGGCACACGACAGGCAGGCCACCGGGAATCTCTTCCAAGGTCTTGGTCGCTTGCGGGAGAGGCTCTGGGCGCGGGCGGGTGGCCTGATGCCCCCTCAGCCATGCGGTGGCCTTCCCAGTGTACAAGCTCCAGCTCTCAAGCAGCCAGCGCCTGGCCGCAATGTGGGAAGGGAAGGAGGGAGCTGGCCCGGCCATCTAGGCCACAGGCTCCGGCTGCTTGCTTTGGCGATGGGCCAGTCGTCTTCGGCTGTGACAAAGCTCGGGGCCCTCCGCAAGCCCTTCAACTTGTGCTTCTTGTGTGGGTGCTGCAGGGGAAGGAGAGTGGGGCGAGGGCGCTGAGCACAGGCCGTGAGAATTCCCATCTTCTCCAGGCTAGGGGGGGAACAGAGATGGGGGTAACCATGGGTACAGAGGTGGAAGGGACGACAGGCCAGTGGGTGGGACATGGGGAAACACAATCCGTGGCCCAAGATCTGGGGAGACCACGGCCCAACAGGAGCAGGAACCCCAAAAATGATCCATATGCCCCAGTGTGGCAGGTCCCGGAGCCCTGCAGGCTCTGCACACATGGAGAGAGCTCTATATTCTGGGCATAGCACGGCCGTATGTCAGCCATGCCCTTGAGGTAGGCTGGGAAATCTGAGGATTCAGGGCTGTGAATGGGGGATTTCTCACCCTCCAGCCTCCCCGTGCCAGCTGTCGACTGGGACTAACAGATGCAATGGGGATCCCTGCCAGGGGGCCTGGAAACCCCTTGCCCAGAAGCACCAAGGAAGCAATACAGACAATCCACAGAACGTGCTGCCCTCCGTTGCCTCCTTCATGGACGGGGCGGGAGTGGGGCAGCCCAGGAGCTCTGCCCGCCCCAGACACAGAGGGCAGCTCAGAACTGGCTCAGCAGCTCTTGGGCCAACATGGCACAAGGCAGCTGCCCAAAGGCCCAGGGCCTGGCTCAAGTGCCAGCCCCTACCCCATAGCAGAGCCCGAATCCCAGGTAGCCGGGTTGGGGGGGGGCGCTTGTACTCCCAAGAAGAGACCAGCCTCAGCGGGAAGGGGAGACCTGCCCTCCCCATAACCATCCTGCCCCAGGCTCCGGCAAAGCCCTGCCCCCACAACCATCCCACCCCTAGGCACCGGCAAAGCCCTGCCCCCCAACTATCCCACCCCAGGCTCCGGCAAAGCCCTGCCCACCCTCACCCCCCATAACTATCCCAGCCCTAGGCACTGGCAAAGCCCTGCCCTCCCCCACACATAACCATCCCTCCCCAGGTACTGGCAAAGCCCTGTACCCCCTCCCATAACCATCCCTCCCCAGGCTCCGGCAAAACCCTGCCCACCCTCACCCCCCATAACCATCCTGCCCCAGGAGCCGGCAAATTAGGCAGGACTGAGAGGGTGCTGACCTTCTGGGGATGCACGTCCACGGAGGCTAGGTGAGGGGCTAGCAGCTCTGCATGGACAGACACACAGACAGGGACATTAACCACAACCCTGGGGTCACAAACAAACCCACAGAGAACCACTGCTTCGGTGTCCATCCGGCCCTGGGGCAGGCGTGCCTTGGGTGCAGCTTGGGTTAAATAGTTCTGTGTCTGGCACACTGGCTAGGCCAGAGTGAGTAGCCGTTCCTGGCCCAGGGATGGCTGCCCCTTGTCCCACGAGCAGGGACTGAGACGCTCGGGGCTCCTGGCTACCATGGCCCAGCCCTGAGCGAGGCAGCGGACGGAGACTCACAGGCAAAGCTGGGATAAGGGTGAGTTAGAAGCATTTGACCCCTGGTGTGGCTGTAGGCCACAGGCTGCACATTGCCCCAGGGGCTCTGGACAAAAGCTGTCTCCTTGAGGGCAAAGCTCTGTCCACTGGTGCTGAGCCTAGACAGCCGCATAGATCTCCGTGAGGGTCTCTGGGGCCCCAGACCAGGGACACGCTCAGGCTTCCAGGCCTGCACCAGGCAGGATGGTGGAGTGCCCGGAGCTGGATCTATCGTGGCTTCTTTGCAGCCAGTGGTGCTAGCTACCCCCGGGGGAGGGAGGGGAGTCCCTGCTGAGTGCTTTGGAGAATCCCACTTCGCACGACGGGTTCCAGCCGCCCCATGTGCCCCCTTCTGCTGCTGTTGGCCAGTGCCCCAAAGCGGGGGTGACGGGGGTCTGAGTGTCCTGCACAGGGGGCACAGTGAGGGCCAGAACGCTGCAGCTAGCCAGGCAAGGCCGCCCAGAATTGGGGGGCAGGGGGCCATGGTGCCATGTTCACTGGTCTGAGAGAGATGGTCAGGAATTGGCCCTCTACGCGCCAGGCTGTCAGGTGGGGGAGGGGAACAGACACTGCTTCTCTTCTGCAAAGCCGTGCTGGTGCCAAGGTGCTGAGTAGTGGGGGCTCCTCGGGGTAGCGCTGGAGTCCCTCTAGCTCCCCCGCCCCTCGCGGGCAAGCCCTAGGAGTCCTGCATGTAAACGCCCACTGGCCTCTCCCCGGGGCTCTGGCCCTTAGCCCTAGCGCACTCACCAGGTGGGGCGTGTGCTGCTCAGACTTCTCCAGCTGGATTTTGATTTCTGGACAGGCGGGGTCTCCAGGTTTCCTGGGCTCCGGCTGGGGAGATTGGGAGGGGCCTGGAAGGCAGAGTCAGACAGGAATGGGAAACGTGAGCTCCCAGCACGGCTGGGAGAACTAAATGTCCAAAGCTTGGTAGCCAGAAACCTGGGGCACAGGCAAGTGGTGGAGCCATGTTCATAACGGACGACGCAGGGGAACGATTCCCATTCGGCCCAGGCCAGAGCTTGGGCAGAACCCTCTGGGAAGCAGAGAATAGCTGCAGGGCAACACCCCTGACCACAGCCTGATCGACCCCTGGTATGCCTCCTGCCCTGCCCTGGCTGGGAGCAGGGCAGGTTCAGAGGCCTCGCTCCAGTGTTTCACTGGCAGTGGAAGCCCGCTGCACACGCAGGCTTCACTGGGCGCCATTTCTGCTCCCCTTTAAGGCTGCTTGACACTTCCAGAGAAGCACAAAGGAACCTGCTACACTGAAGCCAAACCCAGCGTGCTTCGCATTACCAGCTGGCTGTGCTTGCTCCAGCAGCATAGAGCAGCGTGAGCGGAGACGGCAGCTGCAGCCTGCTGTGGCCTGAACTCAGGGCTCTGCCTTTCCCCGATGCCCCACCGGCAGCATCTCCCTGCTGTGGCATTTCTAGTGCCCCCCTGAGCAGGCTGCCCAGCTGGCAGCAGGAAGATTTCCCAGCCATTTGGAAAGTTTGAAGCCTTGCAGTTCTTTTCCTGATGCTACGGTCCCCTGAGACTCCGCTCCCCTAACTGTGTGTATGCCCCCCCCCACAGCTCTGCACCCCAGCATGGGAAGCAGTGTGGCCTAGTGGACAGTGCATTACACTGGGATTCAAGAGACCTGGGCTCTATTCCCAGCTCTGCCAGTGGCATGCTGTGTGAACTTGGGTGCCTCAGTTCTCCCATCTGTAAAATGGAGAATCAGATTCCCCTGCTAACAGCATCTGAGCGCCCAAGCACTTTGACATGTTATACAAGAGCTAGTGATTATCATCTGCCCCTTTGGCTCTCCCAGCAACCAAGCCCAGATGCCAGGCTGTCTTGCCCATCCCCAGGCTGGGGTCCGGTGCAGTGTGATGGCAGCCCCCAGATGGCAGGTCTGTGGCAGAGGCCAGGCTCCTGCCCCATAGAAGCATCGGGAGGGTCTCAGAGAGGCAGCTCTGAGGAAAGGGGGAGGGGGCAGGTGCCGGGGCTGGTGGTGGCTGGGGCCGCGATGGGTGGGGTCCCGGTTGGGTACCTGGAGAGCTCCCCCCGCTGGCAGTGCTGAGGCTGTCATCCAGCCAGGTGCTGTAGATGAAGGAGTCTCGCTTGTGGGGCGTCCCCGAGGCCTGGCTCTCCTGCGGCACACACAGGAGAGGGAGGGAGGGAGGGAGGGAGGTGAGGCAGACACTCCCCGGCTGATCAGCTCCTGAAATGGGCTCCTCCTGGGAGACTCAGAGCCCCCTCCCAGCTGAGGGTACTGGGTCCACCCCAGCCGCCGAGCCCCCCCGGCCCTGCTGACAGGAACCCCCCACCCAGGGGACACGCTCCGTGGCTGCGATCTTCCCTCAATGCCCCGTGGCCAGCAGGGACCTGCTCTGTGCAGCGAGCACCCCTCCAGACCGAGGCCGGGAGGCAGGGAAAGGGGCCAGTGCGCCAAGCTCCACCCTGACTTACCATGCCCATGTAATCATCGGCACCCTCATTCTCCTCCACCACGCTGCCAAAGCTGCTGGCGCTGGATGACGAGCGGGAGAAGTCCCGCAGCACCTCGGGCCTCTGCAACACTGGCTCCCCCCTGCAGACATGGGGCAGTCAGACCCAGTACCGCCCTAAAGCCCCCACCTAGACACGGCAGTGAGACCCAGCACCCCCCCTGCACCCCTCCAAGACACAGGACAGTGAGAGCCAGCACCCCCCTCTACCCCCCCGAGACACGGGGCAGTGAGACCCAGCACCCCCCCTTGCCCCCCGAGTCATGGCAGTGAGACCCAGCATGCCCTAGACTCCCCCTCCAAGACACAGGGCACTGAGAGCCAGCACCCCCCTCTACCCCCTGAGACACGGGGCAGTCAGACCCAGCACCCCCCCTTGCCCCCCGAGTCATGGCAGTGAGACCCAGCACCCCCATATGCCCACCAGAGACACAGGGCACTGAGATGCAGCACCCCCCCAAGCTCCCCCCTGAGACACAGGGAAGTGAGACCCAGCACCCCCCTTGCCCCCTGACACTGGACAGGAGACCCAGCACCTCCCTTACTCCCCCGAGACAGGGCAGTCCCCCACCCCCCCAAGCTCCCCCCTGAGACACAGGGAAGTGAGACCCAGCACCCCCCTATGCCCCCTGAAGACACTGGACAGTGAGACCCAGCACCTCCCTGTACTCCCCCGAGACAGGGCAGTCAGACCCAGCACCCCCCCAAGCTCCCCCCTGAGACACAGGGAAGTGAGACCCAGCACCCCCCTATGCCCCCTGAAGACACTGGACAGTGAGACCCAGCACCTCCCTGTACTCCCCCGAGACAGGGCAGTCAGACCCAGCACCCCCCAAGCCCCCCCTGAGACACAGGGAAGTGAGACCCAGCATCCCCCTATGCCCCCTGAAGACACTGGACAGTGAGACCCAGCACCTCCCTGTACTCCCCCGAGACAGGGCAGTCAGACCCAGCACCCCCCCAAGCTCCCCCCCTGAGACACAGGGAAGTGAAACCCAGCATCCCACTGTTCTCCCCTGAGACACTGGCCAGTAAGACCCAGCACCCCCCTGTGACATTATTGACATGAACTGTGACTGTATAGATCATTATTGCAACCAAGCTCCTATAGTTGCACAAAATCTGGTACAAAGGAGGTCAGGTGAGGTGTCTATGAAAAGGGTGTAATTTGCCTTGTAAGTAGCACCAGGGAAGCATTTCCTGTTTCCTGAGAAAGAATTCTTCAGATTAAGTGCCCAATCAAGAAACACTTAACTGACAGTGGACCTTGGGTGACTCCAATCTACATATGAGGAGCCTTCCTGGGAACATTCAACGTAGCATGTGAGCATTGGCTGCTCCACCTGTGAAGACCTGAGTCATGCAGGGACATGTGACTTGCCCATGTGACTCCAAACTCCATCTTGCTGCTGTGATTTTCCACAGTAAGAACAAAGGGGGCCTTCCACATGGCGGAGGATATAAAAGGCCCAGGAAACCCTCCATTTTGTCTTCAATCCTGCTCCTTACTGCTGCAAACTGAAGCTGTAAACAATGGACTGAATGACCCATCCAAGCTGTGGATGTTCTCCACAGACTTGATTTAAGCCAGCAGTTTACTCTATTGCTGCTGCAAGTCTGAACCAAGAACTTTGCCATCACTGTATGTAATTGATTCCATTTAACTAGTTTTAACTCTCATCTATATTTCTTTCTTTTTATGAATAAAGTTTTAGATTTTAGATCCTAAAGGATTGGCAACAGTGTGATTTGTGGGTAAGATCTGACTGGTCTATTGACATGGGTCTGGGGCTCGGTCCTTTGGGATTGGGAGAATCTTTTTTCTTTTCCTGGTGTATTGGTTTTCATAAGCATTCATCCCCCTATGGCATGGCACTGGTGGTGATAGTGGGAAACTGGAGTGTCTCAGGGAATTGCTTGTGTAACTTCTGGTTAGCCGGTGGTGTAAAACCAAAGTCTTCTCTGTTTGGCTGGTTTGGTGTGCCTTAATAGTGAAGGTCCCCCAGCCTTGGGCAGTGACTGCCCTGCTCTCAGCGATTTGTCCTGAATTGATACTCTCAGTTGTGTCCTGCCAAAGGCCACTAAGTTACACCCACCCCCCACATGCCTCGTGAGACCAAGCACCAGCCCCCCTGCACCCCCCCACACCCGAGACACAGGGCAGTGAGACCCAGCACCACCCTAACCGACCCATAGAGACACCCCCTGCACCCTCTTGAAACACAGCAGTCAGACTCAGCACCTCCCCTGTACCCCCTGCCCCCGAGACACAGGGCAGTCAGACCCAGCACCCCCCCTAAACTCCTCCCCGAGACACAGGGCAGTCAGACCCAGCACCCCCTTAAACTCCCACCTGAGACACAGGGAAGTGAGACGCAGCACCCCCCCTGTGCCCCCCCCCCGAGACACAGGGCAGTAAGACCAAGCAACACCCTAAGCTCCCCCAGGGCAACCCAGAGGATTCAGGGGGCCTGGGGTCTTTGGCGGCAGGGTCCTTCTGCTTCGGGTCTTCAGGGCACTTCGCGGAAGACATGGAGTGGAAGGACCCCTTGCTGCTGAATTGCCACCGAAGACCCGGAGCAGAAGAAGCGGCGGCCGGTCTTTGGCGGTGAGTCCTTCACTCCAGGCGTGTTTGGCAGCACTGAAGGACCCGCCGCCGAAGTGCTGCCGATAACTCTCGTGGGGGCCCCTGCAGGGCCCGGGACAAATTGCCCCACTTGTCCCCGCCTCTGGGCAGCCCTGAGCTCCCCCTCCAAGATACAGAGCAGTGAGAACCCGCACCCCCCGTACCGCCACCCTGAGACACAGGGCAGTCAGACCCAGCACCCCTGTCATAAACATACAGCTAAGAGTAGCATAAAATCCCTCCTTTACCTGTAAGGGGTTAAGAAGGTCAAATAACCTGGTTGGCACCTGACCAAAAGGACCAATAAGGGAAGAAGATCCTTTCAAATCTCTGGGGGGAGGTTTGTTTATGTGGTCTTTTGTTGTTTTCTCTGGGACAGAGAGGGACCAGGGAAGGAAAAACCAGCTCCTAAAACCCTACCTGATATAAGCATCTAGATTACAAAAATTGTAAGTTGTCCCGGAGTCCCCGGGCGATGCTCTGGAACTACTCCACACGAAGCCAGGCAGGACTCTGGGGAAACCTCCTCTCTGAGAGCAGACTCTCTGCAGGACACACAGCTCCCCCGGCTTCCACCTTCCTGGGTCTGACCTCGGAGCATTCAGCCTCCTCTGCCCCTCCGTGCGCTTCCCACAGCAAGTCCGCCCAGGCGGGCTCCTGGGGAAGCCAGAGGGTCCTGCACCCCAACTCCGCAGTCAGCCGTGACCCTCAGTGAGTCAGTAAAACAGAAGGTTTATTAGATGACAGGATCATGGTCTAAGACAGAGCTTGTAGGTACAGGAAACAGGACCCCTAAGTCAAGTCCATCTTGGGGCCAGGGAGGCCAGACCCCAGGTCTGGGCCTCCCTCTCTTTCCCCAGCCAGCTCCAAACTGAAACTCTCCAGCCCCTCCCTTGGCCTTTGTCTCTTTCCCAGGCCAGGAGGCCACCTGATCTCTTCGTTCTCCAACACCTTCAGTTGGCCCCTTTGCAGGGGAGGGCCAGGCCATCAATTGACAGGAGACATGGTGTTGACCATTCTCTGTCCGGACAGCCTCACACTGGCCCTCTAGGGCTCTGCAACAATCACACACCCTTATCCCACCACCTAGATACTTAAGAAATGCATAGGGGAAACCGAGGCGCCCACCCAGGATTCAGAGAAAACATTAAGAACAGTCCTACTTCATCACATAATTTAATGTATTTCCTTACTTTACTTATCTTTTGTTTTTAGCTTGTGAATTTTCCCTATGCTAAGAGGGACGTTTATTCCTGTTTTTGTAACTTTGAAGTTTTGCCTCTGTGTTTTTAAATCTTATTACCCTGTAAAATTACCTTCCATCCTGATTTTACAGAGGTGGTTCTTTTAGTTTTTTCTTCATAATGAAGTTCTGTTTTTAATAATCTGATTGGTTTTTAGTGTCATAAAACCCCAAGGGTCTGGTCTGTGCTCACCTTGTTTACCTATTTGGTTGGTATATTATTCTCAAGCCTGCCCAGGAAAGGGGGTCAAGGGGCTTGGGGGGATATTCTGGGGAAACAGGAAATATCCGATGAAGTGAGCTGTAGCTCACGAAAGCTTATGTTCAAATAAATTGGTTAGTCTCTAAAGTGCCACAAGTCCTCCTTTTCTTTTTGAGGAACTCCAAGTGGTTCTTTTCCTGAATCTTTGTCTAATGCACTTGGTGGTGGCAGCGATACCATCCAACGACAAGGAAGGATTTGTGCCTTGGGAAAGTTTTAACCTAAGCCGGTAGAATTAAGCATAGGGGGTCTTTCATGCGGGTCCCCACATCTGTACCCCAGAGTTCAGAGTGGGAAGGGAACCCTGATAGCCCCCATACCCGCTCCCGAGACACAGGGCAGTGAGACCCAGCACCCTCCCTGTACCCCCAAAAGATGCAGGGCAGTGAGACCCAGCAGCCCTCGTGCCGCCCGAGACAAGGGCAGCGATACTCAGCACCCCCCACCCGAAAGCACACCCCGAGACACAGGGCAGTGAGACCCAGCACCCCCTAAACTCCCCCCGAGACAAAAGGAAGTGAGACCCAGCACCCCTCTATGCTCCCCCAAGACACTGGGCAGTGAGACCCAGCACCCCCTGCTCCCCCCAAAGACACAGGGCAGTCAGACCCAGCACCCCCCTGCTCCCCCCAGAGACACATGGCAGTGTCACGGAGTGTGGGGAGTCAGAGCCCTGCACCCCCCCACTTCCTACGATTCACTGCGACTCTCAGCCAGCCAGTAAAATGGAAGGTTTATTAGACGACAGGAACACAGTCCAAATCAGAGCTTGTAGGTACAGACAACAGGACCCCCTCAGTCAGGTCCATCTGGGGGGCAGGGAGCTTAGATCCCAGCCCTGGGGCTCCCTCTGTTTCCCCAGTCCCCTTCCAAACTCCAGCCCCCCTACAGCCATATTCTCCAGCTTCCCCCTGGCTCCTCCCCCAGCCTTTGTTCAGCTTCTCGGGCAAAA